CACTGTCGAGAGCCTGGTCACCAAGCATATTAGCAAAACATAACTTCACACAATTTAACATCGTTGCACTCGTTGCATTACTCCTGATGATGATAACAAATAAATAAATGCAATTTACCGAGATCAATCTGATTACACAGATCAATGACAATGATTTTACATATTTTGAATATTTTGTAAATTGTTATGCCGTGCTAGCACAAAAGATTCCATGTGTCAGGCTACGTGTGCGTTATATTTGCATAGAACAGATCGAACAAAAAGCTGCATTTTTATTGGTTGGCAGCTTACAAGTCATGCTACTCATTAGCATATTTATCACAACAAAAACACGGTCACAACTATAGAGGGTGCGGCAGAACAGACCAGTCGTGGTAATTTAGCGTCAACGTGAAATATTTTACAAACTTGTTCTAACGGTTTTAGCATATGAAACAAATTACCATGACTGGGCAAGTACGTATGTACTTGACAGAGGTTTATCTATGAACATAAATAGTGACATTTTTACTGATCCAGTACACAACAAATGCGACTGTAGATTTACATGCACTTCTATTGGAAATACACTTTTATAAGAACAAATATGGTAATATATGTATAACTTCTTGGCCACTATAGCAATAAGAAAATAGATATTTCAAGAAGTTACTTACTTTAATAGTTCACAAAGCAGTTCTATGGATGGATATACTGTGTTTTGTTTGCAGCAAATTACTGTACAAAATAACTGGCAAAGCACCACTGTCATCAAATCAGTAACACCTTAAATGTAGAAGATTAAAAAACATTTAAGTAACTACTTCACTGTGAGATGATATGGTGGGGTGTGGAGAAGCAACAAACTCATACCGGAACATGTGATATATGGCATATATGAGATATAATTATAATAATATTTGATTGTGCCACTGTCCATGTGCCTGACTTCAAAAAAAAAACTTCAAACAGCAGACTTTTAGATTTTTAGTTAATTCAGGTTAGAACAATTGACAAGTTTTGGCAACATGAATGGGATACTCCTGATTTTGAAAAGTTTCAACCAGGTCAAAAATAACTGCAAATTGTCTTATAGAAAAATCATGGTAAGCTTTTTAAGAAAAAATTGTAGGTAAAGTGTGATTATCCTTTATTTTATGCACATAAGGATCAATCTTGGCCAAGAGGAAAATAACAATTTAGACCATCAGCTTGTACATGTAGATTAACTGTTGTATGTCGAATGTGACTAGGGAATAGAAGCAATTCACAGTTCACTGTGACTGCCAACAAACACTGTTCCCTTTAATTTTTTTGAATCTTGAAAATACTGTGAAAATTTGCCTATTTTTCCCTTGAAATGTTTTTTCTGCATACAAAATGCATGGAAAGTTTCTCAAAAGACAAAATTTCACTGAGAAACTACAATTGAATCTGAGAAAATTTAGCGAAAATAAGGCTTAGAGGGAACAATGCCAACAAATGGGTTTTACTAACTTACCTTTGTCCTGTGTACTTAGTAAGACATCAGTCATAGTTTCACTCAATATCAATAACTGTTCAACTATTGAGGTAATGTTTTCCAACCTAAAAATTGAACAGTAACATTACTGGTGTCATAGGCTAGGAATACATATTGTGAAATTTTGTGCCGATGAAACATCTCCTCAGGCTCTCCAAGTATAGAAACACTTGTAGACATTGTAGAAAATTTCTGAAATGCCCTCAAATCATTAAATATATCAGTAATTTTGATTTTGTAGAAAAAGGAATATTCATCTCACCTAATATGAGGCAAACAGATCAATGCCGCCCAGAAGAGATGACATTGTATTAGACTGCTGGAGGAAATCTTCAGAACAGCTTAACAGACCTTCTATGTGGTTGCTCAAAGAACTGGAAATGATAGTACAGCAATAAGTATTCCTGTTTACATGTATATGTATGTTGGACAACAACATAATGGCAAACACATTTTTGAAATTTCGAAGTCAATGAAATATCTGCTTTGTATGTGCTGTGCGAACGGTTGTATTTGACATAAACACATATTGCAACTATCTTTAACTGTCAACCTGACACGAAATGTAATGATTGAAGTAGAATAGGTTGAGACTTAAAGGCAGTTTGAGTCAGATTCAAATTACACACAACTGAGGATATGGATTATAGAAGGAAATATATAATTTGAGGTTATTACGAGGATACCAAAAAGTATGCACTCAGACAGAACAGTGAAAATATCGACCGACGTGCAGCGGAGGTCAATGCGACGGCGTACTGTCTCAGTGCATACTTTGAGGTATCCTCGTAATAACTGTATTATTGTGTACATCTTTTTCCTCCAAGGATACATCATTGGATACCGAAATACAAAAAGTTTAGAACAGAATCTGCGAACTTCTTTGTGTGGAGTCCGGTCAAACCCTGGTGGCAGCCATGTTTGTTTTATTATTAGAGGATGCTTATGCGCTTAATCATTCCATATTTAGAATTCGCATTACTTTATATGGTAGGATGAAAATACCCTGCAAAATACCGCACAATTACGGCACGCTGTAACTTATGGCGTTACGGTGACAGATGTATAATAATGTCCCATATGAACATTAGTTACTTTTCCAAAATATTTTCAACAAAGACTGTCCATAAAATTATAATACATATTCTTATTATTATCCATTGCTGAACGTATATAGCATGATGTTCTTCTTGACCAAGTCATGGCATTACAGTGTAAGATGTATAATAATGTATATTATCACCGTGTAAACTCATTACATTAGATGTAATTTTTTTTAAATGTTTTAACAATATTAGAATTTATATCAATGATAATGCAAGACTTTACAATAGATAGAAAGTCAATTCTAAACATTTTACATGTTTTTAATAGTCAGAATAATAAAAAAGTCACAATTAGTGAAATTGGCCATCAATTGTTTTGATAAAATTGGTACGGAATATGTACTACTGTATTCACCTATATTTAAGCTTTCAGATGATGTATAGTTTATATTAGCATGCTTACGGTACTAAGTTTTAGAGAAAAAATTTTAACATGTTTTAATGTTAAGATTTAACCAAATTGAAATGTCAATTGAATTGGATTGAATCACAAAATGGCATTAAAAGTGATGTACTTACCTATTTAGATTCAGCTGGTACTGCTGGAATGCAGTCAATTCTTCCTTACTCTGTGGCAATGTTCTTTTATTAGTTATAACTTTTGTTAATAAGAATAATAGTTCTGTTTTCTTTTCGTTTGTAGGGTTTTCATCTTTGTTAAAGTACTCCATTAGACAAGGTAATGCCAACTGAAAGTACAGTTGTAAACAAATTATACTTCTATGCTAAGAGTTATATTAGTTGTCATAGATATACTCAACTAACGGACTGACATGAATTGTCTCCATTGAGTATATCAGCACTACACTGGACAGTGTAACTCCATCAAGACACTGCAGTGAGATGGCATTTTGACTACCAGTGGAGATGCTATTAATATTCATAATGTAATACCATTACTTACCTCATCAAAATTATTTAAGGTTAGTAACCGATGAGTAAACATGTTTATTTGATGAAATGTACACAGCTGATTACCATAAACCTAATAAACGACAATAGATATGCACATAATTACTGGACAGCGACTCATATAGAGGGTAACAAAACAATAAACAAAGACACATGACCACACATTTTGTCCCAGGCTTCCTAAATATTATTATCCACCAGAAGAGAATTATGGGTAAATTGAACGATTTGAATATATGGGAAGTTCTTCTGAATTACAAATTTCTCGAGATGAGTGGAATCCATATCAGATTAAATTTTTATTTTGGGTAATCGTTTAAAATCACTGGTCTCTACTGTCGTTGAGACTATCGATAATACATCAAGAATATTTGCAATCAATAACATATTATTTCTAACGTTATCATTTATTATATCTTTACATAGTCCATCAATTATTTCGTTTTACTGTTCCATTTATTCATGATGTATGAGTGATCGCCGTTTGACCAATCAGGACTCTTTGCGGGCTTTTACTCTCAATAGAAGACCCCCCTATTCTAACAAAAAAGTAGAATTCTCTAGTTGTGTTGTTGTTTTACCAGTGAGCTGTCTGCTGTAAGTTTTGTCGTGGAACTTTGCATTGTAAACCTACATAGTTTTGTAAATGCTACTGGACTTACACATTGTGTTAGTTAGTGTTCAGCTCCTTCAGGGATTCTGCGATAATAAAGTGTTTGAGTTTAGTGTGATCATGCTTCTGTCAACCCACGAAATGCCCTGCGGCAATACCCCCAGTGAGACCCCTGTTAAATATTTTGAATCTAGCGTGGGGACCATGCCTACAATTGATCTGTTCATTGAGTCAGGTTTAAAAGTCCACTGCTAATGACCATGTGAAAGTACCCGGTAGTATTGGTCATCAAGGTCATCTCATAAATAGAAATTGATTAATTGAAGACAAACAATAATTAGCAAACTTATTATATTTACTGACCGATGTAAGAAGTTCTTTTTTGTCTTTGAAACTGACAGAATCATCTTCTATGTGTGCTGATACTAATGCCAAGATATCATCGATAACATCAGAGGAAAGATTCCCACAATCTAGCAACTCTGGTAATATCTAAGGATAAAATATAAAATGTGTATGAGACAGATGTTACAATTCTCACGACGTTAAGAGGCCGAGCAAGATTGTAAGGACTGCCTCAGGTTTTTTTTAAAAAAAAAAAAAAAAAAGTGGTGGTCATAAATTGTTTGAGGTGACTCTATTTTTTTTATTTTTGGGGTTAATCACATTCATTTATTTATTTATTTACTTCAGGTGATCACAAAATTTTCAAATAACCAAGACAACTAAATGCTTTACTGGAAAATTCTTGACAATTTGTGAAAATTCTTGCAAATGTGACCAAAACTGCAGTAATGATCACTGGTCTCTTTTTGTTAAGTCTAGTCGTGGAATTTCACAAATGTAGATATGCTGCATAGCGTCCTCTACAGTCAGATAGACAATTCTGTCTTTCACGATTAAAAAAAAAATTGACCAATTCCTTACACAGATTGTGTCCATAGATGTGCCTTTCTGCTTTATCCAAACTTGTAATAGTTTCAAAACACTTTGCAACTCTGGAAATACTTCACTGTTCTCCAACGTTAGATTCTTAAGATGAGTTGCTCTTTTCTGAAAATAATCATAATTTATGTTGATGAATATTACACTGAATTCAACAGGTACATGATACTCTTACCAAAAATCACTATTTCATACATTCATTATATATAGAGACTGCCAATTGTAATACTTACAGTCAACAAGACAGCCACAAACGATGTTGACTGTCTTTTACTGTGTTTTGCCATACATGTAACCGTGTGAAATAGACAATCGTAAACTAACTGAAAGTTCAAATCTTCTCGGCAATCAGCCGATCCCAAACTGCACAGCAAAACTGAAAAGTACTGAAATGAGAGGAAAAGTTAAATATAAATGATTGTTTTGGGGATGCAATTAACATACTAATGCTTTTTTCTGGCTGAGCCAATGATGTAGAAATGATTTTACTATATTAGATATGGAAATTGTAATTTGGTAAATCAATCAACATTTGAAAGACAAAATAAATGTAAAAAAAAAAGAAAGAAATAAGATTCTAGTTTAGTTTGTGCCCTTAGAAGCTCTGTACAGCCTACATACATTCATTTGATCTTTCTCAGTTTACTATAGAACAGACCAGTAACAGGATTTTTTCCTTTGGTCTGATGCGTGCCATGTTTGTTTTGGGGCTTAACTATTTGATCCAATAAACAACTGAACAAACTGAACAGTAGCGTAATAATGCAATATCCCCAATTCACAACTAAAACAATAGTCTGTTCTATAGTAGTCAAAGGTACTTCTTGAATGCCTATCATCCTAGCAGTCACCAAGGAGACCCAACTGAGTTTTAGGGAATTCATTTCGACTCAATACCCTTACATAATCAGTTCTTTTAGAGGACACACTGGTGATGAACTTGACACTATACTAAACACTCATCATAAAAATTCATTACACAAGTGCCATAATGTCAGATATAGTTACCGGTTATGAAATTATAGAACAAAGCGAGTGATAGTGATGTTTCAGCTCTATGGTTTTCATACGCATTTTTATTGATATCACAGTGTGCAAACATACACTGTGAGAATCATCACCCTTACAGAGTACACAGTACATTAGCATGAGTATGAAGAAACTACTACTTAAGGGGTATGCATAATAAACTACAGGATAAGGGGTCTGAATATTAATATATGATCATCAGAAAAATTTACCTTTTCAGCAGACGAGTGAAACTGTGTCTTTACACCTTTCATCATTTCAAAGAATAGTTTACCGACTCCTTCACATAACTGTGTCAAAATAAATACATACAAATGTAGATTTGCATTATAAGTACTTTTGGGAGAATGGATTTTATATCACAACACGCCTGGCGTTAGGTTTATAAGCAATCTATCACAGTACACCTTAGGTTGGTAAACATTTTATCACAATACATCGTAGGATTGTATACTTTCTGTCACAATACTTCATACAATTGTAAACTTTCTGCTGTAATACTCCTTAGGTTAATACTCATTCCATCAGAGTACACCTTAGGTTGGTAAACATTCTATCACAATACATCGTAGGATTGTATACTTTCTGTCACAATAATCAATACAATTGTAAACTTTCTGCCATAATACTCCTTAGGTTAATAAGCATTCCATCAGAGTACACCTTAGGTTAGTAAACTTTTTGTCACAATACTCCTTAGGTTGATAATTATTCCATCAAAGTACACCTTAGGTTAGTAAACATAATATGAAAATACCACTTAAAAATAAAATAGTTTATATCAGCTACCTCAGTCTTTTCTTCCATGTGATGTAAGATATAGTACATCATTTTATCAAAGTCTTTTAATTTACGAAGAAGAAAGGCAAAACTTTCAGCAGCAAATCGTCTGACATAATCTTTCTTGCTACTCCCAAGTAATGGTGAATAGAAACTGAAACCCAAAGAAACGTTTAAACATTATTTAGATTTCATTTTGAATTTTGTAGACACAAGGTTATATATAACTCAAGCCTTTAGCTGAAATAAAAATCTAATTATCACAATGAAATAAAAACAAATTTTTAGCAAAATTAATTACAAAATTATTCAATAAGTAATTTATGAAAACTTACAGAAAAACATCCTGGATGTCTTTCAGCAGATATCGCCATAGAAACTTGAAGAGGTAACCAAGGCACTGGAAGGCATCTTCAAGTAACTCAGTATCCTGTGGGTGGTTGTTGAGGAGTTCGACAATGATATCAAAAAATGATTGAAAATATGGATAGAAATCAATCTGTAAATCTTTAGATAATTGTACCACAAGGCTGTGAGAAAAAGAAACAAAGATGGCTGAATGTAATGATGTTGATAAAAAAACAAAAAGTTAAAGGGACGATATCCAAACCAGTTAAGGTCCATTTATTCGACCATCATCTCATCACTATTACCGGTGTGGATCCTATTCAGTGATTTAATTCAAAAGTGCGCCCTTTTTTTGACATCCCACCATTTTCACCATATTCAAAGCCAATTGGACACTCACAACCAATCAGATAACGTATTTCACCAAGGTCAAATATGCCGTCTCTTGGTAGAATGCTTATATCAAGTTTACAACACTGAATAATTTATCTACTATTTTGAAGCTGCAGCTAAGATTCTGTTAAACAAGTCATTGAAAATGACACAGTCCCCGTTAAACTTTTGAAAGTTCTCTTTGTGCTCGTCATATTAAAGCGGAGGGGTTGTCGCGAGCGTGTCCTTGAAACTTGAGTTCCAAGTGGCATATACAAGAGAATGTTTATTTACATCAAAACATGTGTTCCGTGTAGTAGTAATATGGGCAAAAATAAAAACAGCCGTTATTCGGCCATCTTTGATCTGATTATAAAACACACTGATATGTATGATGTATGTGCCAAATACAAATGAAAATGGTACATAAATTGTGGAAATATAGTAGTAAGGGCAAAAAATCAAATGGCTGTCAATCGGCCATTCTTGACCAGATTTTGAAACAAATTGTCATGGACATGCATCCTAACATGTATAACGTACATTTATGTGCCAAATTTGAATGAAAACTAACAGAGCACGTCCAAGATACCGCATATAAAAAAAACAAGATGCCTGCCAGATCTTTGATCCAATTGCAAAATAAATCGTCATGGACATGTATCCTAACATGTATAATCTATGTGCCAAGTTTGAATGACAACTGACAACGCATGTCCAAAATACAACATTTTCAACAAGCAGCCTATCGGCTGAGATAGCTCCGCTGTTAGCAATGCACATTTCAATTAAAGAACTGAAGACATGATTAGAAAATGAACAATATGAATAGTATCAAAGCAATCAGACTTACAGTTTTTAACAAGAAGTCGAAAATATCACTTTTTACCAAAAAATTACAAAAAATATTCACCAAAATAAATTAATTAGAGAATTGAAGATATCATCACAAAACGAACAAATCTGAGAGAGGTCCACATGTAGTACCTATATATGTAATATCAAAGCAATCGGACTTACAGTTTTCAACAAGAAGTCGAAAATATCACTTTTTACCAAAAATGACAAA